ACACCTTCCAGGACAACCACCACTCTTCTCATCAGCAACTGAATCATCTGTGAAACCTGAGGAGGCTGGAATTCCTGTCTATTTCTGACTTTGACAGATCTCACCCGCAGGCTTTCGGCTTTCATCTCTATATACTGGTGCTTTCTTACCTGTGAAGTGCACACAGGTAACTTTCTCCTGAAGGTGCTCCTTTATGAAGTACCTTGTTTCACATGGAGCTCATCTGACCCACACTCACAGTACGTCAGAAATGTCAGAAAGACCTTGCCCTCTAAATTTAAATGAATGGGAACTAGTAGATACACAGCCCAGCCTGTTTGCCCATGGGCTGGCAGAACTCCGAGGTATGTGCTACAGTCTCAGAGTTCTCCAGCAGAGCTGAGCCCAATGGCCCGCAGGAGGGAGGGTCCAGGACCCCAAATCACCCGCTTTGGTAACACCATGGTGTGTCCAGTGCTCACAACCCAAAAACCTACCGGCACTAAACTCAGTCTCAGGCTCTGTTTCTAGAGGGAAAACCAACAAAAGATAGATCCTATGACATGTTTAATGAAAAGAGAAATACCCCTTGCTTCCCACCTATCTCCCCAAAAATGAGAAGAAAAAATATCCCTTAGAGATTGTCTGGGAAACGGCGAAGACAGTGCTTCAGACCTATGTGAAAAACAAGTTTTGGGAACCACTCTGAACTATGCATAAAATTCACATGTCATTTAAACAAAATCAAAAGGACTGTATTAAAAGAAATGAATGTGCATCCATTACCAAAAATACAGAATATTTCATAAATGCTTTTAAAATAATCTGATAAAATGAATAAAAGCTACTTACTTATAAAAGGCCTGGTTTTCCACCCCACACTTCCAGAGGTGTTTGCAGGCAGCTGGTGTGGAAGTATGGAATGCCAACATTGCTTTTTTCTAATAAAAAACAATCAAACAAGAAAGCAAGTAAATAAGCAAGCATGATAAGTAGTTTTGCCTTTCCTGTTTCTCCCCTCAGGTATTTACCTTATTAATCCTGTCTCTTTGTATGCTAGTGTGTACTGAATGGGCTGTCCGTTCCTGAACCTCTGCAGGCATCTTGCATCCTTGTTTCTGATAAAAGCTGGCCTCACAATCCTTCTCAATATGGTAGACATCAACCACCTATCAGAGACTCTCATTGAGTCAAGTCTGACTAGTAGCAACCTTCTAGGACCAAGCAGAATACCCTGCAGGGTTTCCATCTCCAGAAGCTGCTGCCTTGACCTCTCTAGAAGCAGCTGGAGGACTCAAGCCTTCTAGAGAGCAGCCAAGGGCTTTAACCACCATACTACTAGAGCTCCTTCTATCATAATTGAGTTAGTCTGAAAAATATAGCTGCCATACTTTCTTGAATAATTTATACTTGAGCTAAAAACAAAGGTCCAGAAAATCCTCAAGTTTCCAGTCTTAGCTCTGAGATGTAGTCTCAGCAATGATCTCTTTAAAAAAGACTTTTATAAACCTTACCTCTATCTGGAAATTCCCTTATCTGGAGATGCTGAGGACTTAAAAGCTCTGTTTATAGCTCTTTACTCATCGCGAGTTGATAGTTGTTGTCACTGTTAAGTGCTGTCCAGTGGCCTGCGACTCATAGCGACCCTATGTACAACAGCCCTAAACCCTGCTCTGTTCTGTGCCGATCTCACTGTCTCTGACACACCTACCCTGATTACCTCAGTCATGGAATCAATCCACCTCATAGAGGGCCTTTCTTAGCTTTCTAAATATCTTTTCCTTGTTTATCAAATCTTATCTTGATTAAAGAGTAGGATAAAGTTGTGTACCACTGGCATTGTTCATTGACTTTATTTATTTATATTTACACATACACACACCATCCCCTCTGTCAGTCTGTCAAAACTGTGGTGATAATTGTGTTGGCTCAGCGGTAAGAAGCTGCACTGTATTCTTGAAGGCCCATGGTTCAAATCCACTAGCTGCTCCACAGGAGAAGGATGGGCAATCTCTTCCTGTGTGATTAACTGCCTCTGAAAACTTGCTGGAGGGTCAGCTACGGTCAGTTCCTACTTGACCATACACAACAACAACATGATATACAAAGGTATGCAGTTCAGATCCACCAGCTAATCCCTGGGATAAAGATGGGCAATCTCCTTCCATGTGACACACTGCCTCAGAGAACCACTGTGGGGTCTGCTAT